GTGGGATATCTGCCAATTTTTTTTTGTCTAACGGCGCATCAACTCTCGAGCTGTAAGCGTTGTTAGTTAGCTCTTGTCCTGTTGGTGTTGTTTTCCGGCCGCGTGATTTGTGCGTCAACAGCGCGCTGCACGTTTCGATCTGCTCACCGTACTCAGTGTTACAGTCAAATTTGTTGCTATAGCATTCATTGCTTCACCCTTGCGGTGAAACTCACTTTTTAGGGGAGAAGCTCCAAAGGCGTGGGCCTGGCCATCCCTTGTATGTATGTATGTACATGCCCCGCCGCGGTGGTCTAGCGGCTAAGGTACTCGGCTGCTGACCCGCAGGTCGCGGGTTCGATTCCCGGCTGCGGCGGCTGCATTTCCGATGGAGGCGGATATGTTGTAGGCCCGTGTACTCAGATTTGGGTGCACGTTAAAGAACCCCAGGCGGTCAAAATTTCCGGAGCCCTCCACTACGGCGTCTCTCATAATCAAATGGTGGTTTTGGGACGTTAAACCCCACAAATCAATCAATCAATGTATGTATGTATGTATGTATGTATGTATGTATGTATGTATGTATGTATGTATGTATGTGACCACCTAAGTTCCACCTTTGCCAGCTGCCCACTTCTTCGTCCTTGCAAACACTACGCCCCATCACCGATCCACCAATTTACTGACTATGAAGCAAATACTGTTCAGAAGTAGCCAGTATGAAATGCAAGATGGCCGTGTACTTGTATCCGGTGCCTGTTAAAGAACCACAGATTGTCTCACAGTGTCTATTCCTTGTTTGTACGTCACCACCTATAGTTTCGTATTTGCAAACTGCCCACTGCCTTGTCCTTGCAAACGTCCAACTATGCCCAATCACTACAGTGAACTACGGTTTACTATACCCATCACCGATTCACCAGTTCACCATCCGTAAAGCCGTTATGATGAAGGGGGAACGAAAATGTCGTATAGCTACCACTTACGAATTGTAGAATTTCTTGTAGAAATATCTTCAGTACTTGTATATGTAACCCTGTAGCGCTTCACCTCACTCATCATCAATCACTCCGTGAATATGCTGTGATTTTTTTAAGTCTCCAAGCAAAATATGCAAATGGGTTCATAAGTTCAAATAACCCCAAATAACTATACAAACTGCAGAGAACTCTACCAAAAAGATAAATTTCAATTCTGTCTTATATTCTTGCGGACTAGGTCAGCTTTTTGCAGATTTACCACTATGTGGTGGTTACATCGCTTAATAAATAAATAAGATACGCCACGTGATTTAAACTCCTATACCCCAGCTGCCACAACTACAGTGAAGCGTCGGTAGTGGGAATCTTGTTGGGTCACATAAAATATTGATATTTTCGGTAACTCGTAATACAAGAAACATGGAAAATTAGTTGCCACAAAAAAAAGCTTACACGCACTTTCCCCAATTTTTTCCGGGTGGCAGCAACGTCATGAACAACTCTGTGTGTGCTCACCAGTAAAATTTTTAGACGTTATCAATGTCAGTTGTTCTCGTAAATATACGGTTCGTGCGCGCATGCGTATGCGTATTTAGTGAACCGAAGTTCTTGTGACACGTGGACCCTAGTAGTCCCTTCGCACTCTCGTATGCTCTTTTTTGCAGAACAACAAGGTAATGCTGCGAAAGTAACTTGCGAAGTATTTTGCACTGATTATAAGAAGGGCAGAAAATTTTACAGCTGCAGCCCTCCTTATTATTTTTTATCGCGATTGTGTTGAAGACAATTTTTCGAAATATTTAGGGCTCTTGTTGCACAATTGGCAGGTTTGCTGAACGTTCGACGGACTACCGTGCAAACCGCAGAGCTGACAGACGTGCGCGTTCCGAAAACTTGTGCCTGTAGATGATGTGAGGCCCAGCTCTTTTGCGAGTATACCATAGGCTTCTACCTTCGCTGCATCTCCACACTTCGCAAGACTGTGACTGCTTCCGGGGTAGCTTGTTGTCTGCGTCGGCGTTTCCGTTTACGGGCGAGAATGTATTATGTTTGTTTTCGTTCATTGTAGGATGTGTGGTGTGGAACGCACTTATTCATCATTGTAATGAGCGTCGTTCTCATTGTCAGCGTGCACAACGCAGAAGCGTAGTCTCGAAGGTTCTTCACCCGTAAAACGTGACTTCTACGTCATCTGTAGTCTAAAAAAAAACGAGGCACGGAAGCGCGCTTCAAGGTACCCAACCCGAACATTCGTGCGCACTATCGCGGAGGCTACGACTCACCTATGGCTACACTGGCAGCATGGTGTGCAAGGCCGGGACTGTGTTCCCACGCCCGTGCGCAGTTAATGCTTCATCCGCGACAGCGCTGAAAACACCTGTTCGTACCTGCGTGGTACCAGACTTTTGTAACAAACGTCGCAGTGGGAAAACTAGTTCGCAGCACAACCGTGCTACTTGGCATGACCAGGACTATGGAAATGTGCATATCATCCTCAAAGGGTTAAGAGCCGTGATTGAATCACCGAGGTCTTATTGTAAATGAACTTTTTTAGTGGACGGTACTCGTTGTTTACGTCATATCATAGAGCCTGTGCTAGAGGAGACAGTAGTAGTAAATAAATTTTGCGAATTTTTTACCGATCTGCTGCGTCAATACGGCATCCTTGCGGAAACTGTAGAGGAGCTTCGAAATATGAAGAAACTTTTCCATGCAAGTTAAGATCTTCAGTCAGAAGTGGCCTACATCTGTATATGTAAATGTGTTTAGCCTACGTTAGAAATGCAACCGCTTTACCACTGCACCGGTGAACGACAGCCCCAGCTCTAGTGAAAAAAGCTGTCACCTTTTAGGTAACATGATAGCGCTAAGGAGCTTGATTCGTAGGTATACCGGTTTCGACGTCAGCACACCGACATTTGTTCTGAGTGAGAAATCATCTTGTGCATGAGAGAAACATCGAGAAAGATGCATATAAAATAAAGTTTAAAAATTACCGGTTCCTAGTGAGGATCGAACACAGGGCGTTTGCGTGCAAGCAGGTATAGCCTAATTGCAGAACCCTTGAGCATCACTTTGAGGAATTCAATGTGATAGCGATGTCTTGTTCCTAGAATATTTCACACGCGTAATTGTTCGTGGTTGAAAGCATGCTACCGATTGCACATAACGTAGGCATGTGCGAAAACTTCACTGGCACAAGCCTCTTTCAAGTTCGTGAATGCCATTGAATGCCAATCCACAACGTCAGCTTCTCGAGTAATATCATACAAATACACTGGTACAGAATATCGCTATCGCATTCAACTTTTAAAGATAAATCTTTCGGATCCCTGCTTACTGTGGTACTGCGTGAGTGATTGTTCGCGCATAAAAAGAGCTTCACCTTCACCGTAACGTTTCTTGCAGGAGTCTGGTGAAGTACCGTAGTACTGGACACTCCCTTTGCCAGCATTGTTCCCTTAATTGCGAAAACGCAAGACCGACTGTTATACGCTAACTGTGACAACATTGGTTACTCGCAAAAAAAAACGATATATCGCTTCTCTATGACACAATAAACACGGTTTGACTTGATGCTTACATTGATCCAGATGGATAAATTCATTTTCCTCGTAAAATGTATGTATGTGCAGTTGTACTTCAAGAGGAAAAGCTAACGGGAAAGTGAAACACGCGCTAGCGCTAAGAACCACACGGAAGAAGCACGAGCGAGGCGGAACGCAGCAGAGACGTAGTCACAATTTTTTTTTCGGGGGGGAGGGTGCAAGTGTGAGATTTCCTCTATGGAAAGTGATCGATGACAAATATTGGTAGTTTCAACAGACTACATACTGCAGCAATACATTGACTTGGGCCGAGCAGAAAAGCCGGGCCCGGCCCAGTCCGTGGTGTGGGCCGCGGGTCGGATAAAGTACCTCTCACTGGCGCTCGGGCCTGAACTTCCTGTATTAGGACCAGGCCCGCGTTTGAAGTAGCTGCTTTTTGGTTCGGGCTGGACATGGACCCGCCCCAATTGTTAAGAACGCACCGACTCAAAACTTTTGCCCCTTCTTTCTTTTGCAATCAGTAGCTGACCAGCCATTTATCATGGTTAAGGCACGCCTTTGTCCGAGCGTGTAGCGGTTGATTATATAAAGGTCGCTTTAGAGCGCCCACTCGCAGTTTCGGTTTCAGAGAGCGCGCAGTGTGAGATGGGACGCAGAGTGGGCTTCGTGTAAACGTAGCTGTTTACGCAGGCACAAATCATGGCGTGTGCATAGGCCCGCGTTCACAACGTTTTTCAACAAAGGCTCCCTCCGCGGCGTTATATATATATATATATATATATATATATATATATATATATATATATATATATATATATATATATATATATATATATATATATATATGACCCTCCTCCTAATGCAATGTCGAGACAAGGCCATCGACCTTTGCACTGCTATGCAAGCATGTACCTTCTATCTGTTGAACAGATGGGCTAGAAGATAGCGTGACCAAATATCGCGGCAACCAAAACAGATTGGTGACGCAAGCGGCAGTCGGTTATCACACGGTTACCATTAAAGCATGTTTGGCGTGTGATGCCTCGGCGGGCACCATAAATTGATCTTGACTATGTTCTAAGCACAAGCATGCATGGGGTTCTCATTCAGGGGAAAGGGGAGTGATGGTTCGTCGCACTTCCCCTCTTACAATTACATCAATTTGTGCAAATTTCTGTGCGCCCCCTCTCTCAGCCTCACTCCGTGTACTATAAATGTACGGAATTGAATTAGCGCTCCCCCTCTCGTTTCTATTGTTCCTCCCCCCTCCGTCGACCCCATGCGCATGCCTATGGTTGTAGGCTATATTGTCACGTAAGAGTGAGGGTAGCCCGAAGACAGGAGACCGGGAGGTTAGTAGAAATAAAAGGAGATCCGTTTATTTGGCGGACTTGCGCTCACTAAAGGAAAACAGACACACCGGCCTAGCGCGAGGCGAACAGCGCGTTCGACGGCCGTCGGGTAAGGGTACGCACACACTAGCGGGAAGCGTGCCGCCGCGGCATGACGCGCGTCTTCGCCGCCGAGCGGTGAAAAGCGGCACGCTGGCCACATCTGCGGGAGTCACGTGACAACAGTCTCGAGCGGTCTCGCAGCGGCTCGCGAGATTTCGCGCGCTTTTTCGTCGTCTGTTCTGAGCTCTCCGACTTTACGGTGCAATCGTGCGAACAATGGCCGGCGACGACGATCTCCTCGCAACGCTCAACGTTACCATGATGGCGTGTCTGCTGTTGCTTCAGCGTCGCCGCTCTCGAAATGCGCCGCGAAGATATTGGGTGCATCCGCTTTGGAGGTACAGAGATACTGAAGGACAGGCCCACACACTGCTTCCCCGTCTGCGAGCAAGGGATGAAGTCTATTTCCGAGAGTAAGTAATTTATATCATTCAGTGTTTAGTGCTGTTAAAATCAGTTGACGGCAAATTTTCAGGTGCCAAGAAGGGGCAATCAAAACGAGGTTTCATGCCTCCAACTTCGTCAATATAGGCATAATAAATTTCTACATGAATGCAAATCTTTTCAAGGATTGTACAGGTCGCGCATGACATCGCATGGCATTCATGGTCGTGTGCACGAGGGGAAGGGAGTGCGCGGAAAGTCTGCCTCTTTAATTAACTGCGTTATGGCCACTCAGGTTTGTGATGATAATGGTCGACAGCCAAAAGTCCGTGAATGAGACGGCGGTCCCTTGGCTGTTTACTTCCCGTCTTTACTTCAGGAAGACTATGGGCCGAATAGTCTAACGAGGTCCCCCTAGGTAACTGTACGCCTATGCGCACATTCACTTTTCAATGGCCACTGTTGATTACCCGAGTATTGCGTATGGTCAAACATACATAAAAAATAATACTTGAAAACTCGGAATACTGATTCAGAAGCACTACTTCATGTCTTACTGATGCGATGAATTAGGAACAAATTAATTCATTTAAATACATACAATACAATAAGTTCAAGAGACAATGATTTATTAAGAATTTAACATGTTCTTGTGTGAGAGCTGTTAGGTCCACACTGGCGATTTTTGTGTGCACAATGACAATATTCGAATTGAACAGGGCATTCATCCTAACACTGCCAAATACAGCCCATTTGATGTTCAAAAAAATACGTTCGGTGAGCATGAGGAACGTAGCCTAGCAATCTCTGTGAAAATTGACAAAACAATAGGGAACCGCCACTATTTCCCAATTTAATGTTGTGCCTCCCATCACTGAAAATAAGTGCATACACTGGTGAAGTATGCACAGTGTTAACAGATGCTGCTGAAGTGAAGTTGTATTAGGGGACATTGAATGACTGAACCTACACTGGGGTCCTAGAGTGCTGAGGCTTAAGAACTTCTGTAGCTTATTTAAGCACAGGTCTCTAGTTCTTGTCCAAGACCCACTGTAACTTTGCACATGCCCTTTCAGGCACTGGTCATTCAGGAACAGTGGCTATTCTTTTCTACATATATACTGTATGCAATGTTTGCAATTGGAGTTCCTCCACAATGTCAGAGTTTCCTGGTACTGTTTGCGAAGAACATGTAGATTTCGATGCACAAGTAGGCAACATCTCCTAGCAGGCTATCCACAAAGAGGGCAGCTTGAGCCTTCTTGATAATAGTTCTCTCGACACCTGAAAAGCTGTTAATACTGACCGTGATGTCCGAAGAGTTGCAGCTATAATACTCAAGAGCTTCTAGGTATGCTCATAAATGTTCGATGATGGGTGCTGACAGAATGGTTGCATGAGGCAGCTTCTGATCAACTTTTAGCGTACTCTTAAACAAGACAGAGGACGGAATATGCTTGCTTAACAGTGTGCTAAAATAAAATATATTGTAAAATGGATTACTAACATCTCCAAGCCTATGCTCTGTCAGGTTACATTCTTGTTGTATGAGCTCGCATGAGAGGGTGTCCTGAGAAACATGGCCTTGTCCTGGCAAAGTAGTGTTCGTAAGAAGACATTTTTCATATAAAGAATCGGTGAATAGGGGTTGTGTGCTCGAGTCGATGTTTTGACAAGCAAACTTGTCTTTTTCAAGGCTAGAATAGAACAGTTTCGGTCTAGCCTTGAGCAAGACAAGTCCACTTGTCAAAATGTCGGCTCCAGCAAAGTACCTCTGTTTACTGATTTTTTCAATTTTTTCCTTCCCGCCATTTTCATGCATTTAGGCAAAAATGGCCATATTTGGTATTTATATACACCATAAAAACTACAGAAAAGCCCTCAGTAGCCTCTAATTTATGATCTTAAATGAAAGCAGCACGATAGGAGTGCAAGGAACAAAAAAAAGCAACACCCTAAAATCCGGTTTCTAGTAATCAGCCTCATTTTTCAGTTTCCTCCGAATGCCACCAAGGACTTTTGACACATTGCTCAGTCTCGTTGGACCACTTATCGAGAGAAGAGTGACGCCGTTTCGGCTGCCAATTTCTGCACATGAAAGGCTGGCGATGACCCTGAGGTAAGGCAATCAAAAGAAAAGTAATAATCAAGTAACACATTTGCAGCTCTGTACTGCATGCTAAAGCATAGCTACACCAAAACCTATGTTTACTAATATAGTAATATTCACGCTTTATGCTCAATACCATACACTCCAAGTTAGCACCATAGAATAGTTATTAGGTTATGGTCTTAAAATGAAAAAAAAAAACAGTTCCATGTTTATGTAACCTTAGCACATAGCATAGGTGGAAAACGACACCACTTGCCGAACGCAGATGAAGATATTCTGTCGTCATCTCTGTCATTTATTTCATGCCCATTCATCTGTCTATACACATTCTTTATTGTTTCTTTCATCTTTATTTATCTCATTACGTATTGCCCTCTTCCTTTTCCTAGGCGTTGAGCCGTGCTCCCTATCAGGCTGTGGAAATCAGGCGCTTTCTTCTTCTAATCATGAACACCTTTCCTTTCCCTCTTGTTCACTCAAACATCAGTCTGCTACACCCACAGTCACTTTTCGAATCCCACATTTAAACTAGGTTATGTGAGGCTATGCCATACTCTATTTTCGTCCCATTTTGCTTTACTTCCTCCTCGCTTTTACAGCACTTCTCCTCAGTCAAGTAAGTTTTCAGGAATACTAAATGACAAAGTTTTTCACATGTCGTTTGACACCTAATGAGAACATACACTGAAAGCTTTGTTGAGATCACTAGAAAGAGAAAAATCACTAGTTTCTTTTGCTTGGGGAAGTGGGAAGCCTGCATGACCTGCCTCTCTAGTTCAGCATTGCGATCGCTGTTTTGAAGCAAGAGCCATTCATTGTCTTCAGCAGCATTAAGCATCCAGCTCAGTGCAACAAAAGTAGATGTGTTGCCTTAAAAACATTTCTGTATTTTCAGATTTCTTGCTAATGGAGACACCTTCCGAAGTCTGTCATTCAACTTTCTGACAGGACGATCCACGGCAGGTGAAATAGTAAGGGAAACAACGGCCGTGCTGTGGCATGTTCTCCAACCACTGTACATGAAGTTTCCTCAGACAACTGGGGAGTGGAAAAGGGTAATGGGAGGACCATTCATACTAGATTTTTTATTTTAGTGGCTGATGTGTATCAGTGGCATATGAGGATTGCTGTGGTTTCATCATTTTTCTTTGAAAAATACATTCACAAGCAACTTATCTCATTGAACTTTTCATTAACTACATTAAGTAGTCTAAATTGAGTGCTTTTTTTTTCAAATAAAGAAGTCAGTGTTCCTCATGGCCATGTAACGTGCTACAGTTACAAAAATAATCAGAAATAAGTTATTCCTCTCAGTCCACTGGAATTATGCAAGCAGTTGGCCACAGCAAGGAGAATGATAAAGTGGTTGCTTGGTAACATTAAAACATCAGCAAATGAGTGGCTGGCAGTGCACTCCTTTGTGAAATGACAACAGGAAGTATACACTCAGGTTGCAGTAATGGTAAAATAATTTGAGCTCGGCTTGCAAAGTATTTCATTTTCAAGAGTAGTACGTTGTTACTTGTCGAATTCATTTAAAAAATTGCTTTAGAAATTGCTTGGTGCCCATTCAGGTAAATGACTCTGATGCAGTAACTGCTTTTTGAATATTTAAACATATTCAAAATTTAATTTCATTGGTTCTGTGCTGGTACGTAATATGTTTCAAGCAATTGGCCTATTTTAGTCCGACAGTGTGTGTTGTAATGCTGTGAATGCTTCAATTATCTGCAAGCCACAACTCAGCTCCAACTAGGCATCTGCATAACTTTATGTTTAATTGTCATATTTCATGTTGCATTCCAGTGTTTATCATTGAACAAGCATTTTGTTCCACTGAGTTCATTTATATTGATTTTATTTTTTGTGGCTCTTTCTTGATGGATCTAGATTGCTGCAGATATGGAGGAATTTTGGAATTTTCCTAATTGTTTGGGAAGCATAGATGGAAAACATGTCATCATTGAATGCCCAAGGAATACCGGTTCAAGGAACTTAAACTACAAGAAAACCTTCAGTGTTGTTTTCCTTGCAGTGTGTGATGCACATTACAGGTGAAATTCTTTTTCTTACTGGCCTTCTCAAGTAGTAATGACAACGAATAGGCAACTTGGTTGAATTTCCTCTCATGGTAATTCTTGACTTAATCATGTGGGCTTAAGATATCATAACAAGCAGATTGTCATACTCATTCAACATTATCTTCAATGGTGTTACAGTCACTTACGTTCATGCTAAACTGTGGGGTTCCACACTTGCATTATTACTTACACTCATAGATATTCATAACGATTTCCATTTGTTCAGATAGACTTTATTAATAGTAATACTGTTATCCCTTCCCTCTCTCTAGTACTCATTACCACTGCCACTGGCATGCCTTAAAACCTGTCGCCAGAAAGCAGTGTTGCATCTACGACAACACCATCACTCGCTCTTTTTTACACCTACCGGATGAGTGAGGAGGAAGTGAAGTCTGGGTGGTGTGCTGTATAACTATGTCTACTAGATTTTCTGTTTGGTTCTCTCACTGTGTGTTTTTCCCTTTTTAGCGTGAATATGGCAACAATAATGATGAGGAAGTGAAGCCTTTGGCGGGGTGGCTATGCCTCATTATAAGACGTGATTAAAAGAGAGCAAAGTAGGTACAGACCAGTGTCGGATATCACACGTCTAAGTGGAAGGCTTCAAAGTTTCGCTTGCTTGGTGTTTAATCTTTCACATGCCTTGACATCACACAGACACATACATGTAGCCTTTCACTTACATAAAAGCACTGCGACCACAGCCCTGGTCAAACACATGACTTGTACGCAAACAGCCACATGTAACAAAAAGGTGGATCATCCAGCACAATATTTACGGTATTCATTTGCGGGGTGACCACTAAGCTTAATAAACTTTTGTTGTACACTGTATGCTCATTTTTGGAGGATAATTACATTCTGCAAGTTTTTGCAGATGGCCAGTACATGTACTACTGGACTCGCTATGGAAAACCAGTCCTTTGCACAAAGGCAACAATATGTGTTCTCATACAGCATTACCTATCACTGTATTCCAGATTTACATACGTTGACATGGGCCACTTTGGAGGCGAAGGAGACAGTGGAATTTTTTTAAGGTCCCGTTTGCTGGATTGCTTCAACAGAAGACTGTTTGGAGTTCCCCCGCCATCAAATGTCGGAAGCATAGGACTTATACCCTATGTATTAGTAGGGGATGAAGCCTTTCCCCTGAAGACTTTCATGATGCGACCCTACCCCCAGCGAGGCAAGTTTTGTTGTGCATGTGCAGCACAATTTCTTTCTTGATGCTGGACAATTATACAAATACAAAGAAAATTCTTATAGAAGATTCTACAAAAAAATTAATATAGAAATAGAGTTAACAGCTTCATAGACACTACACAAGTTAAATGGGAGTAGTTAGACAATATCTGCACTACTGAGGCATATAGTTACTGTAAACTATGCGGAGAGATAGGAGTGTCAAAGGTAGCGTATACTTCGGAAGTGTGCAACTATGCATACCAAAGCAGACTGCAGGAGCTGAGTGTATTTGTCATGTCATTGAGTGGCTCTGCAGAAAGGCCTCCTACATTTGTGGGGATTCTTAATTGGGCTGTATTAAGCAGATGTTGATGGTAGTGTAGTTGACATTGTCAGTGCTTTATTAAATTTTGGAAAACTGACTTGTGTTTAGCCATTTCAATGATATACGCAACATTTTGACCTTTTAGCTAGTACTTGTAACATATAAAAAGAACCAATTCTTGAGAAAAGGGGCGGTGCAATCAAATTTCGAAGGTAAAGCAAGCATGTTGTGGCAAAGCATCGTCCCAATGCTTTGCCAGTTGGTATGTGGCAGAGGTTCTCGAAAGTTCTCGTTTGTTTTGTAGGTGCTTGTATGACGTGTGTGCGAGAAAGCCAGCGAGAGCAGACGATAATCAGCATGACATGCTTCACAGCCTTGTGTAGCCATGTGACCAAGCTACACAGCCATGTCACATGCTAATTCTGCGCCTAGAAACCGAAACCAAAAAAAAGGTCCACATAAAAAAATGATATTAATCTATTTAGCGAGAATAAATTAACCTTGATGAGTATATCATGCTTGCTGGAGAGCAAACAAAGCGCAAGCCACAAAAATGGTGCCAGCAATGCAGCTTCTGCGTACTGCTTAACTGCTTGCAATATCGCAGCCAGAATATTACATTACAGGATGACACTATGTATAAAACTCATGCCGAGTTCTTACATTCAGCGCTTGTGCTACGTACACATACACGGAAAGTTGTTTGCACAAACATAAAGCTTCTGCTTTGCACTCCAATACCTGCTGTAATGAGTAATGATACCTCATTATTTTTCGTTTGATGTTCTTACGTGCGTTTCTTTGCTTACTTAATTTTCTTTAGAACTTCAGAAGCACCGGAGCAATCCTGCACAGCGTGCAGAGTACCTTCAGAGGGCGACCTTCAATTACAGGCTGAGCCGCGCACGCCGCCTCATTGAAAATGCATTCGGCATTATGTCAAGTCGGTGGCGGATTCTCCGCAGAGCCTTTAGGGCCTCAGAGACCACCACCGAAAACATCATCCGGGCATGTGTCGTGCTGCACAATTTCATGCTCCAGGAGTCGCCACATGCAAGGCTGACATATAATCCACCTGGCTATGTGGACCATGAGGACTGGCAGGGCAGCTGCATGGAAGGAGCTTGGAGGGACGGCGACGATGACCCCTCTATATTTAGGGAGCCCACTGCGTCTGGCTGTCACTCCGCTAGGTAAAATTTTGAACACCCTACCCTTTATCTTTTATACGTTTGGCATTATTATGTGCAATTCATTTTCTCAAAATAAGGTTTTTGCTGAAAGGCATCTTGCTGTCGCAGTCACACTCTTTCTTACATCTTAATTTTAGAAAAGTACTGCCATTATTTTTGTAGAACTCGTGTTCTAATTTGCAAATGACAGTTCAGAGCAAATGTCAATAATTCTGTTCACTTTTATATTGTGTGCATCTACTTTGCAGAGTGGCGATAGATGTCCGGGAGAAGCTCGCCAAATTCTTTATGAATGAAGGCCAAGTTCCGTGGCAAGAGCGCATCGTCACTCGGGCAGGTCAGCGGGTAAACTGAAGCCTGAGTAAAGGCAGATACCCTTTATATCACTTGTTGTTCAAATTGTATTGTCAGTATATATTGTATTGTTCCTCCTTAAAAAGAACGGGACAGCGTTATAGCCTCAGTATGGAACTGGCATCCATCTTGATTTGCTTTATTCCCAACTTCATCCTTCTTTTCTTTCCTGCTCCGGCTCTCGTGCTTTTTCTTCTCCTGTCTCAGGGCTCGTACCACTTCACCTAGGGCTCATACCACTTCACCTTTTCCGGTTTCTTGTAATTACCCCTACTGGGGTAATATTTGCAGACTTTTCCAATTGACGCATATTCAACCGATCCACGTTCACCAGTGTACCAGACAGTCTTCAAAATTCCATTCTGGGTGGCTGTCTTGGTCACAGAGTAAGGACCGCAAAATTTGGCACTGTCATCTCTTATTCCTTTCCTCACTAATACGAGGTCGGTGACTTGAATGTCTGGCATGTCTGCTCGATGCCTCTTGTCGAAATTTTTTTTTTCATTCATTTTCGGTATCTCTCCTCCTGTGATTTTTCTTGCCTCTCCTCAATGATCTTGATGTTTTTTAAGAGTCCCAACTCACGGTCTGCCTGCAAAATAGGGGTTTATACTGAAAAAACGCACTGTAGATTGCACCCAAAGCCACTTGTATAGGATCGATTATGATGTATCACGGCGGCTTCCAAAGAACATTTCCATCCACCAGGAAAACTATCGTACATCTTGATGTACTGTTTCACGTCCCGTATGGCACGTTCTGCCTGCCCATTCGCTGTGGGATGGTGTGGAGCACAGAACTTGATCGATATATTGTGATCCCGAGCCCATCTTGCTAGCTTTTCGCTCTTGAACGCAGGGCCCTTATCGCATACTATTGACCGCGTAGTCTTGAACATGCCTTTTTCGAGGAGGCCTATGACGCTATTTGCATCTTCTTTTCCTGCTTGTGCCACGACCATCCTCGTGTATTCATCTATGGCCAGAAGAAAAGCTTGCGTTTTATTGACTCCGCCCGTTTCTTATTTAGTTTGGCAAATCCAGGTGAACTACTTTGAAAGGTACGTTCGAGTGGCAAGGTAGTATCATAGCATCCGTGGGCTGTTTATACTTGACTTTGTGTACTTGACACACATGGCAGGAATGAACGTACTGACTGACATCTTTCTTCGTGTGAGGCCACCAATTTGTTGTAGGTGCATCGAAATCCGTTGTGTCCTCCAGATTCTGGGCTATCGTGGTACAAACAAAGGACTCTGGAAACAAGTGTTGATGGGACTTCATAACAACTTTCAGTAAAAACCAGTTGTCCGGAGCCTTCCAACAGCTTCACTTCATTCATTTGTTCGAATTTTTCTGTGTTGCTTCGTACCATCAACCTTGATAGAGCATCTGCATCGGTTAAAAGTGGCCCTGATCGATGCAAGATTGTAAAGTCGAATTGCTGCAAGTAATTCACCCATCTAGCAATACGTCCTTTAGTTTGGCTCATATTCAAGAGATTAGTGAGGGCCTGGTGATCGGTGAACAAAGTGAACTTAGTACCTTCCAGGTACAAACGGAAGTACTCAGTGGCCTTCAGAACGGCCAGGACTTCCTTTTTTGTAGTAGTGTAGTTAGTTTCAGATGGCTTAAACGTGTAACTGTAGTAACCTACTACAAGTCGCTTTTCTCGGCTGGATGCTTCAACATATTTTTGATACAACACTGCTCCAGTCCCATAATGTGAGGCGTCAGTGTTCAATTCAAAGGGTAAAGTGAAGTCTGGTAGGCATAGGACAGAGTCGGAAGAGATTCTGAGCACCAAGTCACGGTAGACTCTCTCACATTCGTCACTCCATTCAAAGGGAACGTCTTTATGTGTTAAACATGCGAGACATCTAGTTTTGACAGCAAAGTCCTTAATGAAAGTTCGGAAATGTCCTGCCCATCCCAAAAACACATGCAGTGAATAGACGTCATATGGTTTCTTCAACTGGGAGATCTTCTCAACGAACCCTTGTTTTGTGCTTTTGGTGTTCCCATCGAAGACTCATTTAAGAAACACAACTTTTTGTTGAAAGAATGCACTCTTCTTAAAATTTACCTTGAGACGTGCCAAGCTCAAGGCGTTTCACACCTGAGACAGATGGTCCTGATGCTCAGCCTTTGTTTTGGAGAAGACTATTATGTCGTTTAGACAGAAAACACCAAGGAATAGCTTTAGCACGTCATTCATGGTCTTATGGAACCATGCTGGCGAGTTTTTCTAACCGAAAGGAAGCCAGTTATACTCGTAGAGATCGGATGGTGTGATAAAAGCTGTGCACATTTCTGTTTCTTCGGTTAGTGGGATCTGCCTTCCGAATGCGGTCAAAAGTTTCTTCTTCCACTGACTCCAAAAGCCACCACTGTCTTCCTGAATGCACATTTCATACCACTTGAGCACAACACCTCTCAAGTAAAAACGCATGTTAGTGATTTTATCATCATCAGAGAGCCACCTGTTTTTTTTTAGTGGCATATTCATAGAACTCAAGCAAACTTTCTGGATTTGAAGAGATACCGTCGAAGGCATCAGGCTCTACGAATTTAGGCTCCGGTTTCTCAGCATTCAGAGAGCTTATAAAGGATGTCATTATTTTGTTCTGTTGCATAATCTGTTCATGTTGCAGCTGAAGAGCCTTCAAAACGAGGCTCACCTCTTTCGTCAAAGACCGTTATCCTGAGTCTCTTCGACGCGCTGGTTCAAGAACTAGGTTGTAGAAGGTCGCCACATGCAAGTTTACTTTTACAGCACCTTTCCTTCCTAGTTCAGTAGCGTCCACAGCTGCCTTTCCCACAACCAGGTTTACGAGTTCTTCCGAGCAGAGCTCACGAGGTAGGTCCACCGCTGCTTCATCTTGAACTTGGTACTTCGAAAAGATGATCTTGTCCGTGGAGGTCTCGTCAACGAAGAACGTCACCCACATGTTGGCTTCGATGGCCCGCTGCGCCAAAATAATGTAGTGTTTCAACTTAAAAGAATGGAGCAGCATTATAGCCTCAGTAGGGACTGGCGTCCATCATTCCCAACTTCATCCTACTGTTCTTTCCTGCCCCAACTTTTGTGCTTCTTCTTCTCCTGTCCCAAGGCTCATACCGCTTTATATATATGTACCTGTTTTTCTTAGCTAGGATCCTTTTTTGTTCTTTTTGTTATGTTGTATGTCGCCATATATATGCTTGTTTTTCCCAATAAAATTTATTTCTGAGTCAGCACCCGTACTGTGTTTATTCTCGTTGTTCTGTGTGCGCTGTATCAACCAAGATTAACGCGTACCTACTCACTCAAGCTTTCATTCTTATGAAGATGCAGTTGTTTTATTCAAGCAACAGTTCTATTTTAATAATCTGCATGCTCTGAGAGTCTACAGTGTAGGTTCACTTTGAACACAAATACATGATACTGTGTTTATCATACTATCCTAACAAAGTGTCTGTGCTAATGTATATCGTAACATAGTATCTTCCAGAGCTAATTGTTATTTATATACAACGTGACGGACGTATCCCAAATAAGCATTTGAGAAGTGCCGTTGATACTGCCTATCCATGCTCTGGCAGCTCATTTTAGTGTTAATCGGAGACTGTTAACCAGGAAATGTCCGGGCTTGCCTTTCTAGCCACTCACTGCCAGAAAGGCAAGCATGGAACACATTTTCTGCCTGCTGGTATCATGTAGCACAAGAGATATCTTTTTACCAGCTGGCAAGTGACCAATAAGCTCTCACGCACTACCTTAAAGAATGAAGTCTGCCATAACTAGACCTTTCCTACCAATTATTGCGACAAGGAAAACTTTAAGGGATCATTTTTTATTGTGTAAAATGTATAGAAGCATTTCAGTGATGCAGTAGTGAAGTAGATGTATCAATGGTTCACTCATGTCTGCTGGTACTTTGTTCTTAAACATGTCTTTCTCCGCATCAGTAGCGCTGCCACATTGCTTTGACATGAAGATCAGAATGTGCTATATATAGGTTTATGAGTGCTCCACCAATAGATATAAATGGTTTACTTGTGATTACTATGGCTGACCTTCTCTGCTATAGAAAAGTTTTGCACAAGGACTAATTCACAACTCAATTTTGCAAAACATCAATATGTTGAATTTATTCATATGTGAGAGAATCCATACGAATATTGAAATGAAGCATCAATGTGACTGCACAAATACAAAATATTGCACTGAAACACAATTGAAATCACAGAAATGCAAATGCTGCACTGAAACATAAATGTGACTGAATAAATACAAAACATTGCACTGAAACACAAATTTAATAAGATACAATGTGAGCTTTTTGTACTTAACATTGACACAAATGGCATACGAAAGGAACAATACAGTATTTGCATTTTACCTCTGACTTTTTTTTTGTTTACGTGCTTTAAGTGCGACTATTTGACCATATAAATTCCAAAAGTGCCCTGAAAAAAAAGACAAAGAAATGCGAACATTGAACTGAAATGCAAATGAGCATACACAAAGACAACAAATTGGACAGATTTCGAAATCGTATCGATGTTGATGTTCCATTCGAAGCAGTTCCGAAGCTTGTACTTTCCATAATTCCCGTGGGGGGTACAAGCGCTCCTGAAGAAGCCCGCGTAGACACTAGTGCCAGAT